TTAGACAAAGATGGCTGCTGCATAGATCGACCACAGACGGGTTCTATTCTACTGGCTACTTTACTCTACTCTACTCTTCTCTACTCTACTCTACTCTGACACCAGTACCAGGTCCTTCTTTAGTCCCTCTTGGTCCTGGTTCTATCCAGGCCGAGCTGGTACTAAAGTGTTCTAATTGATAGTGATTGGTCAGAGTGCTGCTGGAAGCCATCAAGGAATTCCCCGGATACTATTTTTTTTTGTGGGGGGTTGCTAGGATACGGTACCAGATACTAAAGCGTAATGGAAACGCAACCAGGTAGAGGAGAGTAGAGTATACAGTAGGTCTCGTTTCATTATTGTAAATAAAAAAATTAAAAGATCCATCCATCCATTTTCTTCCACTTTATCCGTTGCCAGGTCAAAGGGGCAGCAGTCTAAGCAGAGACGCTGAAATCTCCCTCTCCAGAAACTTCTTCCAGCTCATCTGGTGGAATCTTGAGGAATTCCCAGGCCAGTTGAGAGAAACGGATTTCTAAAAATGTTTTACAATATTCATTTTTAATTGTGATTTCTTTTTTTTTCAGATTTTTGGTCTGAGCTTCTCTGTTAACAGGTGGGAGGGGTTAACTTTTTTTGCAGATAGCATTTAGCCTAGCTTTTGCCATCTTCATTGTCACTATCGGAGCCCGTGGGGAGTAGAGCCACAACATCTTTGCCAGCGATTACATTTGCTAAACATTATTTTCTTGATGCAGTATTTGGAGCCGAACCAGAACAGATTACTTTACTATTGCATTCGCAGCCATTGCCAAACTACAAACAGCAAATTCGGCGCAAACTCTTTGATATCACCGACACCTGCCTCCCTCGATCTCTGATTGGTCGGAGAGGATTCACCCGAGGTAACTGCAGCCACTGGGATCAGACCCAGACGTACACCTGGAGTTTATAGATGGCTATGGCCAAGCTAATTTTATTCTGACTTTTTGCTGTTTTTTTCCTGATTTTATTGTGGTTTGAAAGTTAGGTACCCCAGCTTTAAACTAAACTTGACAGTAATCTATTGTCATGTGTTCCTACAGTATGTGAGCACACTCTTCCATAAAGGCTTTTTAATACAGTTTAAACATGCATACATCTCCTTATCTTCACATCATTTATCATTCAGTCAGTATCATTGTAAATACATATATTCAGAGCTGAGAGCGTTAGCATTAGCATAAGCATCTCCACAGCCTCGTGATCATTCCTCTGCGGACACCAGCCGCCTCATTATCCTTCATTGTTGTCACTTTTATTAAAACCATACATCTTTAGGCGTGTAAATGCAACACGTATATATGTCCAACCATCTCCGGAGAGCCGTGTGCGAAATGAATTATTTATCAAATTATTACAGCGTGGTCGAGTTATCAAGGCCTTTGTCTCGGTCAGATCTACACGCACTGCTAAACATGTGACGTCCATGATTATGTCGGTGATAATATAATCCTATGAAATTAAAACAGCATTTGTGAAGATTTTAGAAAGAAAAAATAAAAACAAATCTATTTAATCTAATCACAAAGTTATTTTCTATCACATGTGCCTAATACTGGTTACGTTTCATAAGTACAGTATGTATGTGTGTTAAATTCAATTCAATTTTCATTTTGTGTAGCTCTAAATCATAACAGCAGTCGTCTCGGGGGACTTGTTATTGATTACTCAACAACAGATCAGAGAATTAAACAGTTCGAACGCAGGAAATGCAATAATAGAAAACACACAGGAGCCATTGGTCCATGGGCCACAGATCCAGGACTGAGGCTGTAGACCCAGGACTGAGACTGTAGATCCAGGATTGAGACTGTAGATCCAGGACTGAGACTGTAGACCAAGGACTGAGACTGTTGATCCAGGACTGAGACTGTAGACCCAGGACTGAGACTGTAGACCCAGGACTGAGACTGTAGATCCAGGACTGAGACTGTAGACCAAGGACTGAGACTGTAGATCCAGGACTGAGACTGTAGACCAAGGACTGAGACTGTAGACCAAGGACTGAGACTGTTGATCCAGGACTGAGGCTGTAGATCCAGGACTGCAACTGTAGACCCAGGACTGAGACTGTAAACCCAGGACTGAGACTGTGGACCCAGGACTGAGACTGTAGATCCAGGACTGAGGCTGTAGACCAAGGACTGAGACTGTAGACCAAGGACTGAGACTGTTGATCCAGGACTGAGGCTGTAGACCAAGGACTGCAACTGTAGACCCAGGACTGAGACTGTGGACCCAGGACTGAGACTGCAGATCCAGGATTGAGACTGTAGACCCAGCACTAAGGCTGTAGACCAAGGACTGAGACTGTAGATCCAGGACTGAGACTGTAGACCCAGGACTGAGGCTAGAGAATTGTAACAGGTTAGAGAAGTTTTACTGTTCTTTGGTCTATAATCTCAAATAGTACTGTAGCAGTATTAGTGGCAGTAGAAGCAGTACAAGTACTAATAGCAGTACGAGTAGTAATCACAACAGCTGGATCAGAATTATTTTTTATTGGAATTCACATAATAAGAATTTTCTTTGCCTCAAGTTGCAAACAAATCTTCAGAAAATGTTTTAAAACTCCCATTATGTACACAAGCACTCATTAAAACACCAATATATAAAGTGTAGCATTGGTAAAAACAGGATGGGTGAGTCCTCTATCTTGTGTTTTGTAGGGTGAGTGGGGTTATGACAGATCTGCATAAAGGCCCAGTGTGGAGAATGGTCTCATTAGAATGCAGCAGGGTGCCTCTCCTCCTCACAGCGACTGTTCCGACCGAGACGTCTGCCTTGAACGCACCGCTGTCTGGAACTATAATATCAGATTCATGCAGCAACAATCCGGAGCAGTCGTCCTGAAAATGTGAGACAGGCTTCTTCTCTGACAATGTTCAAATCCAGGTTAAAAAGGATTGTATCTTAAAGGAATATAAGTGGATTTTCTACTTCTGAGTGGATCATGAAGACTATTGGTCCTCCTAATTGTCAATCATTCTGGTGAAACGTGCTTGTCCAAGACCTGAGAGTTTTGTTCAAAAAGTGGGCGGTTCTTTCCTAAAATTTGGGAGAATCTTTCTATTTACCTTTAACTCTTTAAATTGCACTGTGATTATTTATGACGAAAGCTTTGTGTGCTTTGTGTTGAACTGTGCTATACAAATAAACTTGCCTTGCGTTATAACTAAGGTTTTAAATAATGAAAACATGTGTCCAAGTATAGTCCCTTGTGGATCAATAAGGTTTGTCTGATTTCTATCTGGAATATTTATGGATTAGCTACTTTAAAAACATAACGTGGTTGTTTGTGGACGGTTAGCCATGCTTCTAAGTATGGCTAACCACCAAGTATCAAGTATGATAGCTCTGTGCTGAGCCATGCTTCTAAATTCATGGATACTGGTGGGAAGGGTTTAGCCAGGCTTCTAAATGAATTGTACAGGTGTGAAGTGGTTCGCCCTGCTACTAAGTTCAGGTGTGGAATGGTTAGCAGTGCTTCTAAGGTCATTAACACAGGTGTGAAGTGGTTTGCAAAGCTTCTAAGTTCAGAAGTGATCTTTTTTTTTTCCTTATAAACTAAAAGGTGTACATTATTGAACCAAAAACCACACACTGTTTACAACCACATGTTAGCTGTTTGCAACCACATGCTAGACTATAATAGATAATAGATGCAAGCTCATATTTCTGGGTTCATCTTGAGTTTAATTCCTCCTCTCAGAGCTTTCTGTTTGTTTATGCCTGATCACAGAGAGTCTGTACAGTCTTTGAGATCTCCCAAAGGAAAACTAGAACTGACCACGAGGTTTTGTGTTTGTGCCAATGTTTGCAAATACTACCAAACCCTGGAACCAATATTTCTTGCAGTGTACGGTGAAAAGCTTTGAAAATGTTATCTTGAAATCAGTCTCACGCCCCCCACTTTGAGAATCACTGGGTCATAGTTATGTGAAAGGTTACGCATTCATAAATATCTTGGTTTTTTTTATTATATCTGCAGCATTATATGTTGCACTCACTCAATTATCTGCAGTTAGGGCACAGAGGCTGATATATGAGGATGCTGCCATCTAGAGGCGGAAATTGAGACTGCAAACAATTCAAAGTCTATCGAAAATCGATTATTAAATTAATTTGTGGGTGGATAGGGGACTCTGTGCTTAAAAAATAAAGCAGAGGGAAAATTATATTATTATTATAAATGAGTATCCTTTTATTGTATTGATCTATTATAAATATATATGATTGCGCAGAGTTAAGGCCAAAATCTTGTGTCTTGAGTCTGAGGTTAGTTACTGATCCTGGAGGAGAGCCTATACAAAAACAACATATCTTTATATAGTGTGCAAATTTCCATTATAAAACACTTATTTCTGAACCTTGTGGCTTTAGTCTTGTGGTTAGTTGTAGTTCACGTACTCGCCACTAGGTAGGAGCACACCCATGGATGTATTATGAGCACACCCCACATCATTTCTTCAGTCATTGAGCTGCGTGGCATTCACAGACAAAACTAAATTTGCGATGTTTTTATGTTCCTTTCAAATGTCCCCTTTAGTAAAGACTTACCAACTACGACTCACACTCTGTATTCAGCCATTTCTTTTAGTAACTTAAGTGTATATCTTAAAAAAGTATTGTATGTAATCAACAATTAAACGTTCAATAGACATACTATGAATAATTATGAACATTAAATTATCGATTATCAAAAAATCTTTTATACTCATTTAACATTGAAAGCATAAGTATTTCTAACACTGATAAACATGTTGGCAGTAAAATGTATTCTCTTATTATTGCTGCATGTATTTAACTGATAGATTGTATATTTTCCCATATTCTTGAACGCACCACTCACATGTTATCAACACATTGCGTGATGCTACTAGCTTTAGTGACAGCGCGGAGCAAATATTAGCAAATAATGATTAAACTGTAAATATAAATTAATTCCGCTGATCGAAGTGTAACAGCCAAACGCCAACATGGTGAAGGAGCAGTTCAGAGAGACAGACGTGGCCAAAAAGATGTAAGTACACATGCTAACGCTGCTAGCATACCGGGGGAACATGTGGAAGTTTGCGACGTGAAGCCCACTTTGACTTTAGTGGATACTCGTGCAGCTTATGACACATTTGCTCAGTTAAAAAAGATTTAAAGAGTTTTAAATGACATTAATACAGACTATTCTTATGTGGCTTTCTATGAATTATCATCATTATCAAACTAATACAACAAAACTCATAAATCAGAAGAAACCTCAGCTCCACCGAGAAAACAGCTGTATCAGTCCTGTTGTACCTGTTAGTCTGGGAACAATGATACCTGCATATGATAAGCCAGATCCTATCAGACCCCTGAAGCTAAGCAGGGCAGAGGGTAGTTAGTACTGTGATGGGAGACCACTGGGAACGGCAGGTACCTCAGTGGGGTGGCTGTGGCTGTAAAGTGCCTAACTGTGGATGTGTCCTTAGGCAAGACACTTAACCCGCATTAGAAAGAGTCTGGTGTGTGTGTGTGTGTGAATGGTTGGTGGTGGTGGAAGGGGCGGAGGGCATCCGGTATACTGGTTGCCTCTCTTCTATTAGTGTTCTCCAGGACAGTTGTGGCTACAGTATTAGTTTATATATAATAAAGAGTGTCTTTCAAAAAAAAAAAACGCTGCATAAAACCAATGCATTATTATTATTAATGCCTCCACCAAGAAATGTTCTTATTCTCTTTCTCAATAAAATCCTCATAATTTAACCTGCCCATGATGTTCCTCTTTCTCTGGATCTTCTAATATCCTCCTGTTGTTGTTGTGAATACAGAAGCCACATCTGTTTTGGGATAAAGTCGGCAGAGCAGATGCGGCAGCAGGCACACATCCAGGTGGTCAGTAAGAACCTGTACAGCCAGGACACAAAGCGCACCCCTCTGCCCCATGGAGTCCTGGACCACCGCATGGTAAGGGATGAGAGGCTGAATTATTGTGTTTAAACTCTCCATCCATTTTCCATTTTCTACCCTTTAATCCATTTCTGGGTCAGGGGGGTGGCAGTCAGATGCCACCCAAGTCTCATAGCAGCAGCCCCTCACTGACCCTCTGCAGGTGGTGAGTCCACAGGAGGACGGCTGCTCTCTGACTGTGAGCATAGCCTTGATCTTTCAGTTGGGGCTTTGGGCAAAGTGGGGTTAAGTGTCTTGCCCAAGGACACAACGACAGCAGTCATCAGTGGGAGTCGGTGGAGAAGGTGTAGAGGTGGGAATTGAACCCACAACCTTCAGGCCTGAAGGCCAATGCTCTACCAACTGAGCTACTGTCGCCCGTGTTTAAACTCTTTGATTCTCTAATTCTCTTTGTAAAGTCCTCCGAGATAACAACTGTTGTGATTTAGGGCTATACAAATTGAATTGAATTTCGTAACAGGAAGTCACAAACTAGACATTTGCTTTACTACATGGTGAAAAAAGTTATACAAAATCTTTATTCAAAATCTTTTTCAAATGTAATATTTTAATACACACAATAGACATTTGGTTATAGGTCTTAAAGGGGACATACCACTCACTTCTCACAGCTTTTGACCTTGTTCCAGTGTTTTTTCTTGTCATTTTCAAGTTGTGTTTGGTTTCTTTTACTCTGAGACACAAATGGTCCACCCATACCTCTGTCTTAATTTGTTTGTCCATATCCTTTTATGAAACATAATATACATATCGCAATCTCTCCTTATGTTTTCTCATTCTCACCATCTTTCCTCTGTTTTTCAGGGCACCAGTGAAAAGGACCGACCGTGTCTCACCTGTGGGAAGAACCTGGCCGACTGTTTGGGACATTACGGATATTTGGATCTGGAGCTGCCCTGTTTTCACGTGGGATACTTCAAAGCCACCATTGGGATCCTGCAGGTGAAGGAGCAGCCTCTAGAGGGCAGCAGTGTCAAGCTCTCAATAGTCTCTCGGTTACTCTCCTCAAGCTGCATCCTCAATATGTATCTGTCATAGAGTTTTTACTTGTTTCATTAGTTGCCTGCCCTCTATTTTTCAAATGTTTTAGTTAAAGCTGGGGAACCTAATTTTCTAAGCACTAGCTAAAGCTATTGGATACATATACACAACTTATTACCATTATATTTCAAATACTTGTCCAGTCACAGAAAGAAGAATTTTTGGTCACACTTTACTTCAGCCCTCACAGACTAACTGCTAATTAAGCAATAATTACTGTACTATGTATGCTTAATAGGCTCTTAATTTGTATGTATTAAGCACTTTGTACATGGACTTATACAAAATCTAGCTAGTGCCTAGGGTACTCCAATTAGCTCTTACTTAAGGTTAATCTACAGTGGGACTAAATGTTTTAATGAAGGTCTACCCTTTTCTTAATCATCTACAAAACAAACATTTGGATTGGCCTGAATGTCCATGGGGGCTGTTCAAATCTCTCTTCACATACACCTTCTTGCGTCCCCAGAAGGTCCGTAAAACATGCTCTCTCTTCACACACACACACTCTCTTTGCGTCCTCAGATGGTCTGTAAAACGTGCTCTCGCATCATGCTGACAAAGGAGGAGAAGCTGCAGTTCCTGGACCACCTGCGGAGGCCCAACCTGCCGTACCTGCAGAAGAGAGGCCTCAAGAAGAAGATCTCTGATAAGTGTCGCAAACGCACCATCTGCCTCAGCTGCTCAGCCTTCAACGGTGAGATTTACATTTCGTTTGGCAAAGTTAGAGGTTAGATTGAAAAAAAATGTCTTCATGTGGATTAGATATTCAATCAGTACTAGATCCTTACACGTTTGTCTGATTAGAAGAACTTTAGTCTCAGCCTTACTGGAAAATGGTGGTGTATAGAACGCTTGCAACAGAACTGGAGATATGCTCATTTCCAGTTTTGTTTCAGAGAGATGGAGAGAGACGCACAAGGACACACATCCCAAAAAGTCAAATAGTGACAACTTTATTACAACATAATAATAATAATAATGACTAAATGTTTTATATAGTTATTTTTTGGACACTCAAAGGCGCTTCACTTCTGGCCAAACCCTAACCATTTTTCACACAGATAAGTGAAAAAGAGAAGACCTCCCACTCTCAGCTTTCACCCCAAACAGTCAAAAAGTTGCTCAAAGGACTTTTTTTATTTTTATTTTTTTATTAAGATGAAGATTTACACTTTTAAAATATGTTTTCTTATTCAGAGTCAGAAATGGCCTGTTTTTCATGTTTTAACTGTAAAGAAACTTGTTAAAAAGTAACTTCCTATTGGCTGCAAGGCAAAACACTTCAATATAAACACAATATTAATAAATGTTGTTGCTTTCCTCTGTGTGTGCGTCTGCGTGCTGTGATGGCAGGTACGGTGAAGAAGTGCGGTCTGCTGAAGATCATCCACGAGAAATACAAGACGTCCAAGAAAACCGTGGATCCGTTTGTGTCCGAGTTCATGCAGTCGTTCAACACGGCAATGGAACACAACAAAATCATCGAGCCCCTGCTGACCAGAGCCCAGGTCAGAGGAGCAGGACACAACACAACTGTCTGTGCGTTTAGTTTTAAGAAAAAGTACAAAACCTCATGAATGATGGAAGAGCTAGCTATTGTTGTATATGAACACTCTCTCTGGTCTCTCGCTCTTGTCTTGTCTCTGCTCTCTCTGCTCTCTCTCATGTCTCTTTGCTCTCTCTCTTGTCTCACACCTGTTCTGTTGTTCTGTGTGTTGTGTAGGAGAACCTGAACCCCCTGGTGGTGCTCAGTCTCTTCAGGAGGATCCCAGCGGAGGACATCCCGCTGCTGCTCATGAACCCAGAGGCGGGGAAGCCCTCGGACCTGATCCTGACCCGGCTGCTGGTCCCGCCTCTCTGCATCCGGCCGTCTGTCGTCAGCGACCTGAAGTCTGGCACCAACGAGGACGACCTCACCATGAAGCTGACAGAGATCATCTTCCTCAACGACGTCATCAAGAAGGTACAGTGTCGACCACAATGTCAAACTTGTGAACTGTATGTGTGCCATCTGTACCTGTAGTTTGTCAATGTGTTTAGAAACAGAAAAACTCTACTCAGAAAGGCCTGGAAATTGAACCTGTAACCCTTTTGCTGTGTCTTACTATCTGAGTGAATGACTGGTTCAACGATAATTGCGATTAAAACAGAGTGGTTAACCGTAAGGATTCTAAAGGCGCGTTCAGACCAAAAGCTTCAAAAAGCTTTTGACGCGCTTCAACTGACGCCGGGATAGTTTTGTCATTTTGGTGCTTGAAGCTTTTGACGCGAGTGACGCGCCTGACGCCGGTGGGAGGAGCTTCTCTGTTGTCTGTGGGAGGAGCTTCTCTGTTGCCTGTAGTCAGGACAGCGGTGGATTTTTCAATGAGCAGCGAGCCTTTATTTGTTATATAAAGCAAAATAACGTTGTTGTAGGGCTTCAACAAAACATGTTCTGGGTTCACCACAGACTTGAGAGGCTGCAGTGTTTGCAGAGTTCCGTCATTTACTCCAGGAGCTGCGTACGGAGGAGTTTCGCTTTCAGCGGTACTTCCGCATGTCACTCGCCCAGTCTGAGTTCTCAAACCCCGGAGCTCGCCTCTCGCTCGCCTCTCGCTCGCCTCTCCCTGCCTCTCCCCGCCTCGCTCTCGCCTCTCCCTGCCTCTCCCCGGCTCTCACTCGCCTCTCCCTGCCTCTCCCCGGCTCTCACTCGCCTCTCCCTGCCTCTCCCCGGCTCTCGCTCGCCTCTCCCCGGCTCTCGCTCGCCTCTCCCCGGCTCTCGCTCGCCTCTCCCCGGCTCTCGCTCGCCTCTCCCTGCCTCTCCCTGCCTCTCCCTGCCTCTCGCCCGCCCGGAGCTGCCTTGCTCTGAGCCAGACTCATCGTCAGCCTGTTCTTATTTTAAATAAACTAGGTTTACTACACAGCATGTGTACAATGATTTTGTTACTCAGAACGTTACTACTCATACAAATAATATTACTAATAACAATAATGACAATAAAACAGCAGCAGATACATGACTTCTCTTCATGACAGAGACAGACCCTCTGCTGCTGCTGCTCCTCGTCTCCTGATTGGTTGAAGCCCGCGTCAAAGCTTCAAAAGCTCAGCTTTGCTCAACTTCGGCGTCAAAGGGATTGTTGTGATACGCGAGCGTTTCGCGCGTCAAAAGCTTCAAGTGAGCGCGTAGTACGCGCGACTCTTGAAGCTTTTGACGCGCGTCAAGTGACGCCGGGGCTCTCGGCTTCACCTGACGCGCTTCACCATTCACTTTCAATGGAAACCTGACGCTTTTGACGCCGAAGTTAAGTCCGGTGTGAACGCCCCTTAAGGATTTACCACAGGTACTCTCCAAACTCTCTGGTCTCTCCCTCTTATCTCTCTCCCTGGTCTCTCTCTCTACGGTCTTTCTCTTGTCTCTCTCTCTTGTTTAACTTCAAAAACATGCAACAAAAAACATCTGTAGGCCATTGTTTTAAGATGGTTTATTGGACGTTGATTTCAATATTTCAAGATGACGCCAGAATTTAACCGATTACATGGAACAAAGTTTGAACATTCTCTAAAATGTCTGTCCTGAATCTTCTTTTAAGTTGGACTTTTCAGCCAAGTTAAAAGCAAATTCTGATGCGCTATACAAATATATCTTCTTTTTTGCTGCTTTAAAAGTAAATAGTTTTGTTCACACATTTCTAAACCTTTTTTTTATTTGCAGTTAATCCTGCGGCCGTATTTACAAAACAGCTGAAATTGAGGCTTTAGACTTCAGTGGTTTTTAATTTGAAAGAATGTGTCACATGTTCAAAGCAGTCTTTTTAAGCCTGACGCGTCTATTTGTTGAATTTCTGTCTGCTCTGTTAATTTTAGTCTAATGTTGATGTTTTGGAAGAGCTTTGTTTATGTCTACAGACAAATTAAAACGTGTCAGACTTCACTTCTGGTGGCAAACAGCAATTTATTTGTGCATCGCCCAAAATCTGATGACTGCTGTTGTTGTGTCTTTGGGCAAGACACTTAACCCCAGTTTTCCTGAAGCCCCCGCTGGAAGATCAAGGCTCCTGTGGACTCACCACCTGCAGGAGGATCAGTGAGGGGCTGGTGCTAAGTGAACTGGGTGCAGCTCTGACTGAGAAAGAAAATGGATGGATCGCCGGAAATCACAACAGTAGTTATCTCTGATACATTTACAAAGCTGTCGAGACTAGAGAGAGACTAGAGAGAGACTAGAGAGAGACTAGAGAGAGACGCGAGAGAGAGACGCGAGAGAGAGACGCGAGAGTGAGACGCGAGAGTGAGACGCGAGAGTGAGACGCGAGAGTGAGACGCGAGAGTGAGACGCGAGAGTGAGACGCGAGAGTGAGACGCGAGAGTGAGACGCGAGAGTGAGACGCGAGAGTGAGGCGCGAGAGTGAGGCGCGAGAGTGAGGCGCGAGAGTGAGGCGCGAGAGTGAGGCGCGAGAGTGAGGCGCGAGAGTGAGGCGCGAGAGTGAGGCGCGAGAGTGAGGCGCGAGAGTGAGGCGCGAGAGTGAGGCGCGAGAGTGAGGCGCGAGAGTGAGGCGCGAGAGTGAGGCGCGAGAGTGAGGCGCGAGAGTGAGGCTCGAGAGTGAGGCGCGAGAGTGAGGCGCGAGAGTGAGGCGCGAGAGTGAGGCGCGAGAGTGAGACGAGAGGGACCAGAAAGAGACGAGAGAGAGGAGACGATGAGAGATAGGGACCAGAGAGCGAGATGCCGGAGAACGAAAGAGCGAGAGACCGGAGAGCGAGAGACCACCTTCTCCAAAATTCTTTCCCGTTTTAAGGCGATCAAACTTCCCACATGGCTTTTCCTCTTTCTCACACTGTTGTTTTTCCTGTAGCACCGTGCGACAGGAGCAAAGACCCAGATGATCATGGAGGACTGGTACTTCCTACAGCTGCAGTGTGCGCTCTACATCAACTCTGAGCTCTCGGGGATCCCCCTCAACATGGCGCCCAAGAAGTGGACTAGAGGCTTCGTGCAGAGGCTGAAGGGAAAGCAAGGTACGGATAAGGACCATTTATTTGTGTAGGTTAAAATCACAACACTAGTAATCCCAGAGGACTTCAGAAAGCTGTCGATTCGCCAAGAATAGATCAGAGAATCAAACTGTTCAAACACAGGAAATGCGATGATAAAAAACACATAGTGCCTTTGGTCCATAAGAGGCTGATGACCAATGTCCAGAAATTTTGGTGAATCTCAAGTGTCCTGGATCATCACTGTCCATAGACTCAATCCACAAAATCTACGTTGGTTCAGGGTTTGGTTATATGGCAAGATTTTTGTTTTTATTAGGGCTGTCAAAATTATCGCGTTAATTCACGTTAATTACCGTTTTCATTAACACGTTAAAAAAACAATTGACGCATTAACTGCCATTGACGTCAATTGCGTTTCCCGCTATTTTCACGTTCCCAGATGTCTATTGTATCAAATATGTAAGGCTTGAGGCAATATTTTATCGAGCCAGCAGGTGGCAGCATTGCTCTATGAATGGTTTGAAAGCAGCTAGATGCACATGTGTCTCTTTTTTCTCAGCTTTCTGAGATTACAGGGGAACGAAACAAGCTAGAAACAAAATTATTTTTGATGATGAAAGTAGACAGTCCATTCTTTCAGAATCTGGTTTTGGATTTCAGATAGTCATAGTACACAATATTCTGTGGGTCTTGAAAATTCAGTAAAAATCATAAGAAACGGTTGGCAATATCTCCCATATTGCCAGTTCTGAAATAGGCTGGCAGTCAATGAGTTAACGCATGTTCGAATGACCCGCCCATTTATAATAATATCACTCAGAATGCCGCGGACACGTGCATGTGTGTGATGGTGACAGCGGTAACGTGGTCATATAATACACGCATATATATACACGCACAGGGGCCATTCTCTGATGTTGTGTGACACACGGAGGAGAGGAGGAGACACGCTGAAATGCAACCAAACTCGCAAAATTAAAGCTGGGTTACCTACATTTTCCCTTTCATTAACAGCTCTTGTTGGTTGTACCCAAAAGTAGAAGGTTGTGAGCAAGTCAAACAGATTTAAGTACATTTGGTATGAATAATAATGTGTCTTTACATTTGAAAATCTCATTTAACTTCAATTGGAGTGGATTTGAAATAGAATGTTAAAAATGCGATTAATCGTGAGTTAACTCATCATTACTATGCGATTAATCAACTAAAAAAAATTAATCGTTTGACAGCCCTAGTTTTTATACATTTATTACCATGTTTCAAGCTAATTTATTAACAACACTAGGACTTCTTAGACTTTGCATTCAAACCAAAGGAATTCCCCAAAAATACATGTTTTTATAAAAGTAACAAATTTATAAGTTGTTTACCTTGAAGTGCTTAATATAACTTAAATACAGCAAAAAACAGTTTGTTGAAAAGCTAGATGCTAACTGCTAGCAAGTTCACAGTGAGTTGCTATGGTGACGAGGGGTTACTAACACTAGACACTAACAAAAATGGTGCATAGACGGTTGACACCTTTTGTAAATAGTAAGTTGGATTTTCTTCCTCAGGGCGATTCAGAGGAAACTTGTCGGGGAAGAGAGTGGATTTTTCCGGCAGAACTGTCATCTCTCCGGATCCAAACTTGCGGATCGACGAGGTGGCGGTCCCGATCCACGTGGCCAAGATCCTCACTTATCCAGAGAGGGTACGGAACCAAGCATCCAGCACGGAAGTGACCGATTGGATTATATAGACACTCGGCTAAACTATTTTGAAATTTTTACATAATTCATACCAATAAGGAAGACACCAATGCAATAGTTTGTTTTTCTGGTTGTAGGTGAACAGTGCCAACCTGGAGCTGCTGAGGAAACTGGTGCGGAACGGTCCCGACGTTCACCCAGGAGCAAACTTCATCGAGATCCGTTCCATGAAGAATAAACGGTGAGAACAAGCGGAGAGAGAGAGCGGAGAGAGAGAGAGCGGAGAGAGAGAGAGCGGAGAGAGAGAGAGCGGAGAGAGAGAGAGCGGAGAGAGAGAGAGCGGAGAGAGAGAGCAGAGAGAGAGAGCAGAGAGAGCGGCGAGAGGGCGCAGAGAGAGAGAGCGGAGAGAGGGCGGAGAGAGAGAGCAGAGAGAGAGAGCGGAGAGAGGGCGGAGAGAGCGGAGAGAGAGAGCGGAGAGAGAGAGCGGAGAGAGAGAGCGGAGAGAGAGAGCGGAGAGAGAGAGCAGAGAGAGAGAGCGGAGAGAGAGAGCAGAGAGAGAGAGCGGAGAGAGAAGCGAGAACAGAGAGCAGTGAGAGAGAGACCAGATTGAGCAGAAAGACCGAGAGACAAAGACCTAGTGTGCCAAAGAGCGAGATCGGAGAGGAAGAGACCATAGAGAAAGAAAGGACTAAATTCAGACTTAGAAGTTAAGCTTGATTTGTCCCATTCTGCCAGAACCTGAGACCGTGTGTTCAGACAGTTCCAGTTCTCACCAACGTTGTCTGTTTCTCTTTCAGGTTTTTGAAATATGGAAACCGAGAGAAGATTGCACAGGAGCTGAAGTTTGGCGACGTGGTCGAGAGACATCTGATCGACGGAGACATTGTTCTGTTCAATCGGCAGCCTTCTCTGCACAAGCTCAGCATCATGGCCCATATTGTGAGTCTCAGTCGTCTCACATCAGGTGTTGCTCCTGGGAATGCACCTTAACTGGGGTTTAGAGCTCTGAGGTCCAGGTGCTAGGTTCTAGAAGCAAAACAAATCACGGACAAGAGTGTGGCGAGAGCGAGCCAAGTCTGTTGTGCAGAGGTGTGGATTTATAGAAAACCGATACATTTTCAATGAAAAGCTATATTCTTCTGGAGTCTTGAGAAACAGAAATACAAATCTATACAAATGTGTCTCTACCAGGAAACGGGTAGAACATGATAAACTGTAATCTCTGTCACGTTCTTTCCTCCTTTTGAAAAATATGAAATGATTCTCACAGAACTGAGCTGAGTCTTTGTTCGCGGTGAAGCTGGTTCTTTGATGTGGAATTCCATTTGAGAGTTGCGATCCGTTAAAGCAGCTTCATAAATAAAACTGTTGAACCATCGACACATTGTAGCAGAATTCAAGAGGCAGAAGATTCTGAGAATCTGAATAGGCTCCGAGCTACATGTGTCCTTGTGTGTATTTCCCTTTGTGTCCTTTCTGCCTCGAAAGAGAAAAACACAAAGCTCGTAGAATGACATGAAAACAATGAGACGTTGAAGGTAATTGAAAATATTTTGAATAAACATGCACAAAGATTATAATGAACAGTTTTCAGTAGAGTTTTGGCAGTTTTCAGATTTGACGTTGAGCCCTGAAACTTTAAAAGGGATCGAGGACGACTAAAATATAGTGTGAGAAGCTGTAGAGAAAGTGACCATGGAAATAGGTCGAAAGCCATTGAATATTTTTACATATTTTTTAGGGCTGTCAAACGATTACATTTTATTTGTTGATTAATCGCATAATAATGGTGAGTTAACTCACGATTAATCACATCTTTAATATTCTATTTCAAATCCAGTCCAATTGAAGTTAAATGAGATTATCAAATGTAATGAAACATTGTCATTCAAACCAAATGTACTTGCTCACAACCTTTTACTTTTGGGCTCAACCAAAATTAGCTGTTAATGAAAGGGTAAAATGTTTAATTTAGCGAGTTTAGTTTAGTTTTCCGGAGGAGACACGGTATTTGGGCGGGTCAGTCGGACATGCGTTAATGCGTTAATTTTTGTTTAACGTGTTAATGAAAAATGTAATGAACGTGAGTTAACGCGATGATTTTGACAGCCCTAATATTTTTACATATTTTTATGACGGGGGAGAGAGGAGAGCGAGGGAGAGGAGAGAAGAGAGGAGAGAGAAGAGAAGGAGGAAATATAAGAGAGAGAAAAAGGGAGGAGAGGAGAAATGAGAGTGAGGGAGGAGAGCATGAGAAGAGAGAGGAAAGGGGAGAGTAGAAATCGGCTATAAATGAATTCTAAAACAAGTATCAAAACTCGATATTATTGAAACCTTGTATCCAGACTTCAGACTGGCTTTTGTCTGCTCCGTGTGAGATTCTTTGACAGTGACTCAGTGATAACAAAAGGTGTGAGCTTAGAGCATCAACACAGCTGCATAGTTTAGTGCTAAAACCAGTAAGAGGTGTGGACCATGTGTATGAGGGAAAAATGGCCCTACACATGGCAAGGCAAGTTTATTTGTGTAGCACACTTCATACACAAGCAGCTCAAAGGGCAAAACAAAGCAAAGTCTCAACAGGCATTAAAATCATAATCGCATAGAATCCCTCTTTATGTTGTGAATGCAACTTAAACTGCCACTTGTAATTAAGAATCTAGTCTTGTTCTTGTCTCCTTCAGGCACGAGTCAAGCCTCACCGCACCTTCCGCTTTAACGAATGCGTGTGCACGCCGTACAACGCCGACTTTGACGGAGATGAGATGAACCTGCACCTGCCGCAGACGGAGGAGGCCAAGGCCGAGGCGCTGGTGCTGATGGGGGTACGTGTGCGCGCCGCCTCAGACCCTATATTTGGTTCCTATTTCCTCCAAAATAAGCCAAAAGTATTGTACATAAATTAGTTTTGGTTATTTCAAGTTGAGTGAAATTACACGTTTGCAGCCTGCAACAAAACTGCCCCTGGTGGCAAGACAGGGACTTGCAGGCAGTTCTGAGTGGTTCTTTACTGATGCAGGAGGATTCAAGGACAGTGCTCATGATCCAGCACACTCAACGACATTTATGCACATCTATCTACAATGATGTACATCGGTCATCTGCCCTTTATCGACCAAGGGCTCTATGGGGGTAATTTTCTGATCTCTTGTTGGCAAATCCACAGCTTTGTGAAGTCCTCGGAGATAAATACTGTTGTGACTAGGGCTGTACAAAAATAAATTGAATTTCAAGCATCAAGTTAATATTTCACAATATAACGCATGAAATTTCAAAGGTATATTTAACATTTTTAGTGGCCAAACATGTCGTGCTTCACAAAAACACAAATCCAATCAGCAGAACTGTGACTCGCGGCTTCAGGCGATTCACTGTTATTATTCTTCATTTTCTCTTGACACTTGCCGAACACATAACTGCCTCCTCTCAAACTCAAAAGGTTTTTTTCCCGCCCGCAGACAAAGGCGAACCTCGTCACTCCCAGAAACGGAGAACCACTGATTGCTGCAATCCAGGACTTTCTGACGGGTGAGGAGCGAGAGGGCAGGATAGAGAGGCAATGGGATCAGAGCTGAGGTTAGGGGACAAAGATGGTTCAAGACATGAGAAATGTCTTATTTTCTGGAAATGTCATCACTTTGAGAACCGTGGAAGCTTACAGCAGACAGAACATAGAGGATTATAGGGATATCTCACTGACGTATAGAAACACATAGAGATGGACATCAAGGTACATAAAAATGATACAACTAAATGTAAAATAATTATCATTTTATTTTATTTAGAAAAAATCTATTCATATGCCATATCTATTATTTTTTGTTATTTTTCTGCACACCCTTCCTTACCTATCTGTGGTCTCCTCGTCCCGCAGGCGCCTACCTCCTGACCTTTAAAGACACGTTCTTCGACCGATCTAAGGTCTGTCAGATTGTCGCCTCCATCCTCGTCGGGAAAGACCGGAAAGTCCGCATCACTCTGCCCAGACCTGCCATTTACAAGGTCAGTTCTTATACCAGGAGACACTTTCTGAGGCAAGAAATGGCTATGATTTCACTTTTTTATTTTTATTTCACAATCCGATTTTGATATTTTGTACTTTGGTTTTATTTTGACATCTGTTCTCTGTGGTTTTATTTTGACAGGCTTGTTCTCTGCAAATCTAACTTGTATTCGGACCTCCCAATGACTGCCCAGACTCTTAAAACACTGTTCTCAACACTGACTCTGTGCAAAGTGTCTAAAGTTAGTGTTTAGTGCGGTATAACACTTGCACGCGGCCCTCGCAGCTGCGTCGCTTCACTATGATTTTTGCACTAGTTCAACGCGGTCTTGCTCGAATATTTTGTATGGGAGCATGACGTTTTTTGGGGCCAAGGAGGTAGTCTGACATGTCTGCCAACTAGTGGCAGGGAGTATGAATGAATTTTGACTTTCTGTTGGACACACTCGCCGTTTTAAACAGTACCGCAGCTTGTCGGCTTAAGTCGACCGTGGCGCCTAGAGAAACTTATATCTATGTTTTACTTGTGCCTGCTAAAGTTAATGCAATACAAACTCGCATTCTTTTAAACTACAGATTCAATCGAAAAGATTTAGACTTGCTTCTAAATATGTTTTAGCTCTTGGCTCTTTCGTAGTTCGTCCGATTCCATTGAGACTTGAATAAAACAAATATGACCTGACATTACAGCCCTAGTAAGCATAGCATCTCTTGGCATCAAATTGTATCTCGAGAAAAACAATTCTGCTGGAGTATGTGTGAAAGTTCCCCTGATAGCTGCTTTATTCACACCGTTATTCAAAAGTGATGCTAATTAATTCTCTTCTTTCTTGTTTGTGTGTTTTTAGCCGATGGCACTGTGGACTGGCAAACAGATCTTCAGCCTCATTCTGAAACCAGGAAATGACTGTCCAGTGAAGGCTAATCTGAGGACCAAGGGCAAGCAGTACTGCGGCAAGGGAGAGGACCTGTGTCACAACGACTCCTGTAAGATCCTCTTCCCATGGTTCCTATGCTGTGTCTCTGTCTTTCTCACACTGAGAGCTGATTGGCTGAGTGAGGGTGGTCCTCTCTGTGCTCTCTGGTGACGATACGATTCCATTCATTTACTTTTGTACATTTATTAGTAGCAGAATAGAGTCGAACGGGTGAAAAACACAATGAAACGGATATGAGAGATTGGTATTAATTATAGGATTGTATCTTCTCATGTTTTTATGTACTTGAGTTTTTAAGCTGTTTAATGTTTAATGTAAGAGGAACCAGAAAGAGGCCGGAGAGAGATGGGCCGGAGAGAGATGGGCCGGAGAGAGATAGGCCGGAGAGAGATAGGCCGGAGAGAGATAGGCCGGAGAGAGATAGGCCGGAGAGAGATAGGCCGGAGAGAGATAGGCCGGAGAGAGATAGGCCGGAGAGAGAGGCCTGAGAGAGAGAGAGAGAGAGAGAGAGGCCCGAGAGAGACCTTGTCAAATGTCAAGGTCTGAGGCGTGACCTATTGAAGAAAAAGTTCACTTATAGATTATTGCTCCCATCGACAAAGCCTGGATTTATGAAATATACTGCAATATCTGGGGAGACTGGAGAGAACACCATGTTATTTCATGAGAAAAAAATGGGAAATAAAGGTCTGTGTATGAAGTAAAATTCAATGTCATATTGAACTAAAAATTGGACATGAATGAAAATGTTTGGTGATTCAAAGTTTTTTAATTTTTCTTTCTTCATACAGTCATTGTTTCTGTAAAAAAACATGATTTTCTTTTTTTATGTCTTCCTTTATGCATTTATTCAAGCAGAAATTATTACATTCAAACCTTGAAAAGGCAATGGGTTTTTATCTTTATAGACAAGAAAGAGAGAGACGAGAGAGAGGGAGACGAGAGAGAGGGAGACGAGAGAGAGGGAGACGAGAGTGAGGGAGACGAGAGTGAGGGAGACGAGAGGGAGGGAGACGAGAGGGAGGGAGACGAGAGGGAGGGAGACGAGAGGGAGGGAGACGAGAGTGAGGGAGACGAGAGTGAGGGAGACGAGAGGGAGGGAGACGAGAGGGAGGGAGACGAGAGGGAGGGAGACGAGAGGGAGGGAGGGAGACGAGAGGGAGGGAGACGAGAGTGAGGGAGACGAGAGTGAGGGAGAGAGGGAGAGTGAGGGAGACGAGAGTGAGGGAGACGAGAGTGAGGGAGACGAGAGTGAGGGAGACGAGAGTGAGGGAGACGAGAGTGAGGGAGACGAGAGTGAGGGAGACGAGAGTGAGGGAGACGAGAGAGAGGGAGACGAGAGAGAGGGAGACGAGAGAGAGGGAGACGAGAGAGAGGGAGACGAGAGTGAGGGAGACGAGAGTGAGGGAGACGAGAGTGAGGGAGACGAGAGTGAGAGAGAGGAGACGAGAGTGAGGGAGACGAGAGTGAGGGAGACGAGAGTGAGGGAGACGAGAGTGAGGGAGACGAGAGTGAGGGAGACGAGAGTGAGGGAGACGAGAGTGAGGGAGACGAGAGTGAGGGAGACGAGAGTGAGGGAGACGAGAGTGAGGGAGAGACGAAGAGTGAGGGAGACGAGAGAGAGGGAGACGAGAGAGAGGGAGACGAGAGAGAGGGAGACGAGAGAGAGGGAGAGAGAGAGGAGGGAGACGAGAGTGAGGGAGACGAGAGTGAGGAGACGAGAGTGAGGGAGACGAGAGTGAGGGAGACGAGAGTGAGGGAGACGAGAGTGAGGGAGACGAGAGTGAGGGAGACGAGAGTGAGGGAGACGAGAGTGAGGGAGACGAGAGTGAGGGAGACGAGAGTGAGGGAGACGAGAGTGAGGGAGACGAGAGTGAGGGAGACGAGAGTGAGGGAGACGAGAGTGAGGGAGACGAGAGTGAGGGAGACGAGAGAGAGGGAGACGAGAGAGGGAGAGAGAGAGAGAGAGAGGAGGAGACGAGAGTGAGGGAGACGAGAGTGAGAGGGGAGACGAGAGTGAGGGAGACGAGAGTGAGGGAGACGAGAGTGAGGGAGACGAGAGTGAGGGAGACGAGAGTGAGGGAGACGAGAGTGAGGGAGACGAGAGAGAGGGAGACGAGAGAGAGGGAGACGAGAGAGAGGGAGACGAGAGAGAGGGAGACGAGAGAGAGGGAGACGAGAGAGAGGGAGACGAGAGAGAGGGAGACGAGAGAGAGGGAGACGAGAGAGAGGGAGACGAGAGAGAGGGAGACCAGCGAGAGGGAGACCAGCGAGAGGGAGACCAGCGCAAAAGGGAAATCAGGAGAGGGAGTCTAGAGAGAAGAACAAGAGAGCGAGACCAGAGACAGGGACACGAGAGAGACGAAAGAGGGACTAGACAGAGAGAGATAGACTAGAGACCGAAACTCGACATTTTTACTCCTACATGTTTGTGCCAGAAAGTTTCTGATATTGCTTGTTGTAGCATGGCTAAAATCTCTTTAGGGATGTAAAAACTATGAATTTTCAGTAGTAGTTTAAAATATTCCACATTCTTTAAAATTACAGCCATTTCGAGCCACACACTTCTCATAAGTGCCTCTGTGTGAATCTGCATTTCTGTCATTTGTATTCGCTTTTGCCGCCGTCGCTACTTTCTGCGTTGTGTTTTGTCTATATCTTTCGCTTTTTCATATAACTTCCAGACAGAACCATGGAGGCTGTGGTAGAAATGTTTATTCTTAATTTTGAAGCTTTTTAGCAGCAAACGACGGCTCGTACACATGGTCAGATCAGCGATCAGCTGCTCTAACGCCAAGGACCATCAGCACAAACATGTTCCATGTGGTTTGACTGGAGTCTCGTCACTGCGAGGATCCTTTGGTCTGCGTGAAGCGGAGAGACTTGTGCATTTGCGGCCGTTATGTGTCCGTTATTACTATGTCAGTGAAAATATAGTCATTTACAGACATTGCTTATCAAAGGTGAATGCACTGTTAGATCTCAGACGTCCTCAAATTACCAGAGGTCCGAAGGTAATATTACCCTGTGTTAAAAGGGTTTATAATAGCGTAATTAAGAGACCCTCCCCCTTTTCTTTTTTTAACCGACAGCTTTGACCGGTTAACACTGCCACGGTCAACCACCAGTTAAACGGTCACTGATTTATATCCCTGCTTTAGAACTTGAAGCTTTGTGCAGGTTTTGTCTGTTTTAACACTGGTCTGGTCTGTGGTCTTCAGTCGTGGTGATCCACAACAGTGAGCTGATGTGTGGCAGTCTGGACAAAGGAACGCTGGGATCCGGCTCCAAAAACAACATCTTCTACATCCTGCTGCGGGACTGGGGGCAGCTGGAGGCCGCCAACGCCATGTCCCGCCTGGCTCGCCTGGCTCCCGTCTTCCTCTGTATGTACCGTCGTCTCACAACTGTCCTTGTTTACAATTTATGAACGGACTCTACGATACAAAACTCTTCCTCCTGGTCTCCTCCTGGTCTGAAACATCTTCCCAGAGAGACGTCCAGGAGGCATCCCAAACAGTTGTTTGAGCAACTGGCTTCTCTCGAATGTGGAGAAGCAGTGCCTCTACTCCGAGCTCCTCCTGCGTGACAGAGCTCCTCAGCCAAGAGACACCAGGGAGAAAGAGAGAGCAGAATTAGATAGCAATGATAGAGAGCGAGAGACCTGAGAGAGAGAGGAGAGTGAGTATAAAGAGAGAAAGAAGGGGAGAGAGGGAGTCAATAGAAGGAGAGACCTCAGAGAGAGAGAGACTTCTCAACTCCAATGTTATGTGAACTGATCGAAAATGCCATAAAAGTTCTCAAATCTGACTGTACACCTGCAAAAACTGAAAACAGACTTTGACAGTGGTTTTTCAAAAGGACAGGGCTTTTCTCCAGATTTTGATCGCAGAATCCAAAAAGGTGACACTCGTCTAAATGTCAAGTTTGATCAAAGTCGATCCGCCATCTTTGTTTTGGCAGCAAACCGAGACTTCTCCATTGGTATCAGGGACGTGACTCCAATTCAGAGGCTGCCAAACAAGACCTTCCAGACGAGAGGGAGAGGGAGTGAGAGAGACCAGAGAGTCAGAATGAGAGAGAGATCTGAGAGAGAAAGAGGGACTTTAGAAAGAGAAAGAAAGAGAGAGACCAGAGAGGCCGTAAGGCCCTTCTTCATAGACATAGCTTTGACGGCAGAATCCAAAAAGTGATACTTGTTAAAAGTGTCAGCGCTTATGTCTGTGTTTGGGCAGCGAACCGAGGCTTCTCCATCGGGATCGGAGACGTGACCCCGGGTCAGGGTCTGCTTCAGGCCAAACAGGACCTGCTGGACGACGGCTACACCAAATGTGACGAGTACATTGAGGCTCTGCACACGGGGAAACTGCAGCAGCAACCAGGATGCAGCGCCGAGGAGACACTGGAGGTACCACAGGCCACACTCACTGCTGTCCCCTTAGAATGTACAAGAACTGGGCAGATCTGGTCGAGAAATGTGTGAAAAGGTTCACTGCAAAAGTGATGAAAAGTTGTTCAGTAACAACTTATTTGTTCAAATTTGGCAGAACATATCTTGATATGCATAAATTAATATGCACACATTAATAGCACATTTCAACTGCCTTAAAACAAATTTTCTTTATCCTGTTGGTAAATATTATCTTTAAAAAAAAAAAACAAATGTCTCTCTTGGGATGAGAAAATAAAGCAACAGTTTTTGAAATAAGACTAAATGGTTTTGTCCTATTGGTAAGTCCTATTGGCTGCTGCCACCTGCTGGTTCGATAAAATATGCTCTAAAACTAATCCCCATTCATATTAGAGACAAAAGACATCTGGGAACATGAGACAGTGAAAAACGTATTAACACGTCAATGGCAGACAATGATATCGATACTTAGCAAAAGCATATCGATAATCGTTTGTGTGAGAAAGTATCACGATACATCACATTATCGATATATTGTCAAACTCCGATTATACTTGTTTCACCTTATATTTTCTCCTGGAAGAAAATCAGCTTGTTTTAAAACTCTGGCTGTTTTGTCTTCTTCCTCTTGATGAATGGTGCAATATATTTGTTGTGTTTATATGATTTCTCTGCTGCATATTTGTTGCGCGACAGATTTATGATAAACATTATGAAACATAATATCCTTGGCGAGAGGGGGAGGCCTTAGCGAGAGGGAGAGGCCTTAGCGAGAGGGGGAGGCCTTAGCGAGAGGGGGAGGCCTTAGCGAGAGGGGGAGGCCTTAGCGAGAGGGGGAGGCCTTAGCGAGAGGGGGAGGCCTTAGCGAGAGGGGGAGGCCATAGCGAGAGGGGGAGGCCATAGCGAGAGGGGGAGGCCATAGCGAGAGGGGGAGGCCAGAGCGAGAGGGGGGAGGCCAGAGCGAGAGGGGGAGGCCATAGCGAGAGGTGGGAGGCCATAGCGAGAGGGGGAGGCCATAGCGAGAGGAGGAGGCCTTAGCGAGAGGGGGAGGCCATAGCGAGAGGGGGAGGCCATAGCGAGAGGGGGGAGGCCAGAGCGAGAGGGGGAGGCCTTAGCGAGAGGGGGAGGCCTTAGCGAGAGGGGGAGGCCTTAGCGAGAGGGGGGGAAGCCTTAGCGAGAGGGGGGGAGGCCAGAGCGAGAGGGGGGGGAGGCCAGAGCGAGAGGGGGAGGCCAGAGTGATAGGTCATTGGTCCTGTCCTCGTGTCTATGGTCCTGTCCGCGTGTCTATGGTCCTGTCCGCGTGTCTATGGTCCCGTCCGCGTATCTATGGTCCCGTCCGCGTGTCTATGGTCCTGTCCGCGTGTCTATGGTCCCTTCCGCGTGTCTATGGTCCCGTCCGCGTGTCAATGGTCCCGTCCTCGTGTCTATGGTCCCGTCCTCGTGTCTATGGTCCCGTCCGCGTGTCTATGGTCCTGTCCGCGTGTCTATGGTCCCGTCCGCGTGTCTATGGTCCCGTCCGCGTGTCTATGGTCCTGTCCGCGTGTCTATGGTCCCGTCCGCGTGTCTATGGTCCCGTCCGCGTGTCTATGGTCCCGTCCGCGTGTCTATGGTCCTGTCCGTGTGTCTATGGTCCTGTCCGTGTGTCTATGGTCCTGTCCGCTTGTCTATGGTCCCGTCCTTGTGTCTATGGTCCCGTCCGCGTGTCTATGGTCCTGTCCGCTTGTCTATGGTCCTGTCCGCTTGTCTATGGTCCTGTCCTCGTGTCTATGGTCCTGTCCGCGTGTCTATGGTCCTGTCTGCGTGTCTATGGTCCTGTCTGCGTGTCTATGGTCCTGTCCGCGTGTCTATGGTCCTGTCCTCGTGTCTATGGTCCTGTCCGCGTGTCTATGGTCCTGTCTGCGTGTCTATGGTCCTGTCTGCGTGTCTATGGTCCTGTCCGCGTGTCTATGATCCTGTCTGCGTGTCTATGGTCCTGTCCTCGTGTCTATGGTCCTGTCTGCGTGTCTATGGTCCTGTCCTCGTGTCTATGGTCCTGTCTGCGTGTCTATGGTCCTGTCCTCGTGTCTATGGTCCTGTCCGCGTGTCTATGGTCCTGTCCGCGTTATTTATGGTCCTGTCCGCTTGTCTATGGTCCTGTCCGCGTGTCTATGGTCCTGTCCTCGTGTCTATGGTCCTGTCCGCGTGTCTATGGTCCTGTCCGCGTGTCTATGGTCCTGTCCTCGTGTCTATGGTCCTGTCCGCTTGTCTATGGTCCTGTCCGCGTGTCTATGGTCCTGTCCGTGTGTCTATGGTCCTGTCCTCGTGTCTATGGTCCTGTCCGTGTGTCTATGGTCCTGTCCTCGTGTCTATGGTCCTGTCCGCGTGTCTATGGTCCTGTCCGCGTGTCTATGGTCCTGTCCGCGTGTCTATGGTCCTGTCCGCGTGTCTATGGTCCTGTCCGCGTGTCTATGGTCCTGTCCGCTTGTCTATGGTCCTGTCCGTGTGTCTATGGTCCTGTCCTCGTGTCTATGGTCCTGTCCGCGTGTCTATGGTCCTGTCCTCGTGTCTATGGTCCTGTCCGCTTGTCTATGGTCCTGTCCGCGTGTCTATGGTCCTGTCCGTGTGTCTATGGTCCTGTCCTCGTGTCTATGGTCCTGTCCGCGTGTCTATGGTCCTGTCCGCGTGTCTATGGTCCTGTCCGTGTGTCTATGGTCCTGTCCGTGTGTCTATGGTCCTGTCCGTGTGTCTATGGTCCTGTCCGTGTGTCTATGGTCCTGTCCGCGTGTCTATGGTCCTGTCCGCGTGTCTATGGTCCTGTCCGCGTGTCTATGGTCCTGTCCGCTTGTCTATGGTCCTGTCCGTGTGTCTATGGTCCTGTCCGTGTGTCTATGGTCCTGTCCTCATGTCTATGGTCCTGTCCGTGTGTCTATGGTCCTGTCCTCGTGTCTATGGTCCTGTCCGCTTGTCTATTGTCCTGTCCTCGTGTCTATGGTCCTGTCCTCGTGTCTATGGTCCTGTCCGCGTGTCTATGGTCCTGTCCGCGTGTCTATGGTCCTGTCCGCTTGTCTATGGTCCTGTCCGTGTGTCTATGGTCCTGTCCTCGTGTCTATGGTCCTGTCCGCGTGTCTATGGTCCTGTCCGCGTGTCTATGGTCCTGTCCGCGTGTCTATGGTCCTGTCCGCGTGTCTATGGTCCTGTCCGCGTGTCTATGGTCCTGTCCTCGTGTCTATGGTCCTGTCCTCGTGTCTATGGTCCTGTCCTCGTGTCTATGGTCCTGTCCTCGTGTCTATGGTCCTGTCCGCGTGTCTATGGTCCTGTCTGCGTGTCTATGGTCCTGTCCGCGTGTCTATGGTCCCGTTCCCGTCCACTTGTCTATGGTCCCGTCCGCGTGTCTATGGTCCTGTCCGCGTGTCTATGGTCCTGTCCGCGTGTCTATGGTCCTGTCCGCGTGTCTATGGTCCTGTCCGTGTGTCTATGGTCCTGTCCTCGTGTCTATGGTCCTGTCCGTGTGTCTATGGTCCTGTCCGCGTGTCTATGGTCCTGTCCGCGTGTCTATGGTCCTGTCCGCGTGTCTATGGTCCTGTCCGCGTGTCTATGGTCCTGTCCGCGTGTCTATGGTCCTGTCCGCTTGTCTATGGTCCTGTCCTCGTGTCTATGGTCCTGTCCGCGTGTCTATGGTCCTGTCCTCGTGTCTATGGTCCTGTCCGCTTGTCTATGGTCCTGTCCGCGTGTCTATGGTCCTGTCCGTGTGTCTATGGTCCTGTCCTCGTGTCTATGGTCCTGTCCGTGTGTCTATGGTCCTGTCCTTGTGTCTATGGTCCTGTCCTCGTGTCTATGGTCCTGTCCTCGTGTCTATGGTCCCGTCCGCGTGTCAATGGTCCCGTCCGCTTGTCTATGGTCCTGTCCGCGTGTCTATGGTCCTGTCCGCGTGTCTATGGTCCTGTCCGCGTGTCTATGGTCCTGTCCGCGTGTCTATGGTCCTGTCCCGTGTCTATGGTCCTGTCCGTGTGTCTATGGTCCTGTCCGTCCGTGTCTTCGTGTCTATGGTCCTGTCCGTGTGTCTATGGTCCTGTCCGTGTGTCTATGGTCCTGTCCGCTTGTCTATGGTCCTGTCCTCGTGTCTATGGTCCTGTCCTGTCCTGTGTCTATGGTCCTGTCCTCCGTGTCTATGGTCCTGTCCTCGTGTCTATGGTCCTGTCCTCGTGTCTATGGTCCTGTCCGTGTGTCTATGGTCCTGTCCGTGTGTCTATGGTCCTGTCCGTGTGTCTATGGTCCTGTCCTCGTGTCTATGGTCCTGTCCGTGTGTCTATGGTCCTGTCCTCGTGTCTATGGTCCTGTCCGTGTGTCTATGGTCCTGTCCGTGTGTCTATGGTCCTGTCCGTGTGTCTATGGTCCTGTCCTCGTGTCTATGGTCCTGTCCGTGTGTCTATGGTCCTGTCCGCGTGTCTATGGTCCTGTCCGTGTGTCTATGGTCCTGTCCGCGTGTCTATGGTCCTGTCCGTGTGTCTATGGTCCAGAGCGGAGGATGTAAATCTCGTTCAAGTTCCAGAGGAAGAAATGTGAGAATGTGTTCTAGGGATGTAAATCGGCGACCGGTTAACCGGTGGTTGACCGTCACAGCGTTAACCGGTCAAAGCTGTCGGTTAAAAAAGAGAAAAAGGGGAGAGGGGAGGTCTCTTAATAACGCTATTTTAAGCCCTATTTGCACGGTGTGACGAGCGGGTCTGTATCTAGCTGTATGCGCCCATGTATTATAAACTCCGGGACGACTCTCACGCCGCACGAGCCACATATGCACACACGCACACACACACACACACACACACTTTCCCCCTCTCCATGCGTAACATCCACACGCATCATCTCTCCCCTCTTTTACCGTCAAAGTTGCACACTGGCGCGGGTCAGAACTACATTGGAGCTTACATTTACACACACACACATATACATACACACACACATACATACACACACACATACCGGTCTGTCGCGCTCCTCTGTGTCACGGAGCCCAAAGG